TTTTCATAGTAAATTTTCCTTTCTGTTCTTTCAATTTTAAATTTAATTTTTTTATTGCTAATAATTCCTGTGAGATAGAAGTGATTGAAAAAGCTTTGAGTGTTGGGTCTAGAGACCTTTTAAACTGACAAATTTTGAATTTTCTGTCAAATTGCTGTTTAAGTTGCATAAAATCGCCTTGTTTGCATCAAAACACGTCCTTGACATTAAGAAGTATAATTGGCCATTGTTGTGTTCGTGCACTAGAATTTGAAAGTATTAGAATTAATTTAAAATTAAAATTAATTATGAAGCCCTTGAGTCACCGCAAAGGTTGGCTCGTGCTACTTTTTTATATGCTCGGTACTGGTCCTAATACAAAGCTGGTCCGTGGTTTTTTACCAGCCCCCGGCTCTGCGTAAACCAGTTTTGTTATGCATCTGTAGCCGAAGGGGCGTTAATTAAGAACAAGGGGCACCTTGTAGGAATTCAGATTTCGCCATTTCTACCGATTTCGTATCCGTTGAGGCTTTGAAAAACGTCTTCTCCTCTGAGCGATCCGTGAAAATCCGTTGTGCATACTCACAAAAAGGATTGTCGTCCTTTTCTTTTCTTCGTCGGCGGTTGAAGACCAGACTGAAAGGATAGGAAGTTCACGATGAACCCAGGTAGTGACACCGGAACACAGGACATTGGGTAATGAGAGACACCCCTCACCCCACAAAAAAAGCGCATCCTTACCCCCAAAGCACACAGATAAAAAAGTCCCTTACCCCTCGGGCCGATATACATATATTTGAATGCGGACTATAAAAATTTTCATACGGTGAACCTCTCACCCCTTCCGGGTCGGTGGGAACCTCTCATCCCCCTGTCTACCTGTATCTGTCCGACCTGCTTCAACCCTTCCTCCGGCGCGCAACCCGGCACATTATTCAAAATAGGGTTGTGTTATTTAAAATAGCTGTCTTCCCTTCCTTTTTTTCTCATGGTACCTGAGAGAGATCTAGGTATCATCAGGGGTTCCTTTGCATAGACTCCCCTATGCAAACTCTATGCAAAGGGGTCATCCTTGAGGGGTGGCTCTTTTTTCAATGCGACCGTCTATCTGTGAACCCGTTCGTAAAAAACGTTACCTATCAAATACGGGGATTTAATATCGATTATTAAGTACCTGTTGCGGAAGGGTTCCGTGTGGGAAATAGACGCATCCGATAGATAATCGGGGGACGGCTAATTTCCCTACGATCTTTCTAACGTAACGTACCCCCCGACCGTTATCCGGCCAAGAGATTTAACCGTTTTTCCGTCTTACCCGGCATAACGTACACGATTGAGCCTTGTATCGCTGGAACGGGAAAAAAATTCCACTGTCGGTATGATTTATCTCTTGAAGAGAAAGAGAAGAGATGCGTGCAGCAAGAAACCACACTTCAATTGTCCCTGCGATTTATCATCGAGCTCTTCTTTTTCGGGATTTACCAGCCTTATTAACATAACAACATCGACCCACCTGTTTTTCTTGTATGTTTGTTTTAATTACAACTAACAAGTTGTATATTTTAGTATATTTTACCAAAGAGGGGTGCATATAATCGTGCACGGTGGCCGGCCAAGGCTTCCGAGACGCCCGCTTAAATTATTCACTTAGAAAAGAATAAATCTTCATATAAAAAGCTTATTTAAACAGGCTGGGGATGTTTGTTTTCATTGAGCTCTTATTATGAATATATGGATGGTATGGAGGCGTTATACATAAATATTAAACGATCGCGAATAAAATTGTAATATAAATTAATAAAACCAACATAGTCCACCCCGTAATTCGAATGGGTACAGGTAACAGAGTGTACGAGAAAGGGTACAACGACAATTGCTCAACACGAGGAGGGTTGAATAAAGGGTCGACGGTTCAAAGGTTATTATAGGTCATCCATCCGACAATCCTGCTGTTGAACTATTAACTAAAAGAAAAAAAAACCTATAACCACTATTGAAACTCGTTTTAAAATTACAAACCGTGAACACAAGTTTTTTCCAAAAAAAAATTCTTCAGAGTTAAAATTTGATTGCTCGGCATTTTAAGCATCCTGGAAAGTTCAGCTTGAGGGAAATTTTCCATAAGTAAACAGCAGGACGGCTTAGTGGCCGAAGAGATCGCAAACCAACTTTGAATAACGACGCTTTGAAGGTGTTGCGATGTCCAACCCTAGGTGGACCGTGGTCCATTTTTATATCGTACTGAACAATTAAAAATTTATTCTTTGTAATAATTATAAATGGCCTTTCCAGTTAATAGTTGATGAACAATATCTCATTATCAAGTGATCACACTAAAAAAGAGTTGGTGTCTGGTACTAAGTCCTAATGTCAACAATTTTGCGCCAAAAAGTGTATCGTCATAATACGTCATTGGCCAAGAGTTCATATCTCAAAAATGGCATCACAGAAGCACATAGAACTTTGATTTTAAACAATTAATCAGAAGTCGTGAGATGCGGTCTGGTGTGATGTAGGTTTCAGAAAAATATTTTTTTTATCGTGCCAACGTTTCGATCTTTATTGAGATCATCTTCAGGGCTCAAAGTGTTTGTGTTCTGTGTAATTGTGCCATTCTTGCGTGTCGTGTTGAGAGTGCCCATTTGATTTTAAAGTTCTTCATAAACATCCAACTTACATCCACCTTACTAGCCTAGCTATCTTTAACGATTTTTCATTTATCTCTCATCTGAAGTGCTTTATTAGAAGTAAAAAAAGGTATGAAGATGACGAAGCATACAAAGGAGGAAACCAATTTTAGATATGTACTAATATCGTGAAGCCAACCCATATAACATAGTTGGGGGGAGGGTGTTAGCAGAATCTGGGATTCATACTTCAACCATTTCCAGACATTCATCATAAAAAGGAAAATTGACACCCATATGTGAAAAAATTTGGAAATCACATCTTCCTTTCTTGCGCCAAACTATGATTAATTTTTTAATCATCATAACATGCGCCCAAAATTGGTCCTTTGTGATAATTCTAGATGATATAAAGTGTCGGTGACATTTTTTTGGTTTTGTTTACGAGGGTTCGCAACAGCAGAGGTCGTATCAAAGGGGTGCCGGTGCTTTAAAAACAGCCCAGTTGCAAATATGTCGGGACCATTGCCTAAAAGTAGTGAGCGCCGTTGCGGCCACCGACGTCCCTGGTGAAAGTTTGGTAGTCAATGAAGAGGGTCATAAGCTTTCTGAACACTACGGAGGCTTTATTTCTTCTCCCACTGTCAACAATTGTTTTGTACCAAAAATTATGTACTCATAGTCCAGTATAGTCAGTCATAAAGGCCCAAATTTTTTCATGACCTTGCAGAACTCTCGTTTCAAAAATGGCATCAAAGAACCCTGAGCTGGGGCGTCGGTGGCCGCAACGGTTTAGGCGTTGATACGGCGTTCATCATTGTAAGGTAAACGTCCCGACATACTTACAAATAAGCTTTTTTTTTCAAAAACACCGGCGGGTTGATATAACCTCTACTGTTGCGAATAAAACTCGTCTATCTCCTACGGATTTTCATTACTTCGTTCATCGAGAGGTTAAAAAACAGGATAGCAGCTTCCTGGACAAAGAAGGTCACCAACGAACTTTGGATAGCGACGCCTTGAAGATTATCCTGAAGTATAACGCAAAATAAAGGGGTAGAGAGATGTCAGCAGAAGCTGGAGTTCATGCTTCAAACATTTCCAGACATTTGTCAATATGGATAGATAATAAAGCTCTATAAATTTGATAATTATTCAGAAATCGTGAGATGCGGTCTGGTGTGATGTAGGTTTCAGAAAAACATTTTCTTTATCGTGCCAACGTTTCGATCTTTATTGAGATCATCTTCAGGGCCTGGGATTTACAAACATTGTTTACATTTAACAAATACATTTAGGATGTGGAAAAGTGAATTTATACAATGCAAAATATATTTTTTATATTCAATCAAAGTACTTCTACTCACTCAAAGTGTTTGTCTTCTGTGTAATTGTGCCATTCTTGCGTGTCGTGTTGAGAGTGGTCACGATAAACAAAATGTTTTTTTGAAACCTACATCACACCAGACCGCATCTCACGATTTCTGAATAATTATCGACTAACGGTCACTAATCTCCACACATTTCTATAAATTTGATTTGTAGATCTTGCGTGAAATTATATCTATAACGTGCGATGAAAAGATGAAGTAAGAAATGAAAACATGGTGGAGGAAACCAAGTATTAGCAAAGGGTGCGTTGGCTATTGGGCTACTGTCCAGGATGTCTTCGGTCTTCTTCAAAGTTCGGATTGATTCACAAGGCGAATAAATCATGGCCGAGTAAATCATTATCCCAGCTCCCGGTATTAATAGGTAACACGTACTGATATAAATCTCGATCTGCTCAATCAAGATATGTAAATACGGACACACTTCGCTACAAGAGTCCGCCCCCTCCCCCGTCCCAATTACTTGGCCCGTTCTTAAATTTTGCCCACTTGCGGGTGTAAACTTTGCTTTTTGTTCCCCGGTGATGGAAAAAAACGGTGAAAATCCCCTTTTCTAACACATGCTCGGAATTTGTATGAGCAGTGGCGTCGTGCCGATTCGGCCGGATTAACCTCCGACATCTAGACGTCATGCAAATCCCGATGCTAAAGTTTAAATAATTTTTAGGCAAAAAGTTTGAACATAAAAACATTTCGTTTGTTTCGTTGTTAATTACAATAATTTGCTTCATCACCATAATAAACATTGATTGCCTTTATTTTTTACATTTTGTCATAGTTTGTCAAACTCGCATTATGAAAGCAAATCTTAATTCCTGGAAGTAAAATAAATTTTACAATACAACATGGTAGTTTGATTCAGTATCCCATACAAAATGAACCGAAGAGCAAATTTTTCTGATCAACAACTAGTTAATATGAGCGACTGTTTTATTGACAGTGGTGGTGGTATTGCGCGTCGTGCAGTCGAGTTGTGCTCCCGGAAATTTCCTGATCGCCCCAGAGTAAACCACAAAAGGTTTATTCGTATTGGTCGCGATATGTGGAGAGATACGGATTAGTTGCTGTTCAATCACCAAGAAACCGGCAGTGTAATTTCGACGAGGAGGTGAATATTTTACTGTATGTCCGGGAAAATCCCAATTCCTCTCGCCGAAATGTTAGAAGAATTTGAGGTTTTGCAAAAAATAAATTTAGAGAGTTACAATTTTAAGGCGTATCGCTCTCATATTGTCCAAGGATTCCGGGACTCTGATTATGACAGGCGTCTAACGTTCCTTGCACAAATGTCGATTTTGGAGGCTGAAGAAACCGTTCTTTCATACATCCTATGGACTTAGAAATCCAACTTCAGCCCTAATGGCATACTAAACCGTTGGAATTTTCGAAGTGTGCAGAGGAAAATCCGAGAATTTTGTATTCTTGTCGTCATCAGGCGGTTCACAGTATCAACGTTTGGTGTGGCAATAAATTATTTGGGCTTTTTTGTTAGGAAATAATTTAAATGGTGCTCAGTTCCTCAATTTTCTGAGGGAGACTATTTGGAGATAGTGACGTAGGTTTTAGAAAAACATTTTCTTTGTCCTGCCAACGTTTCGATCTTTAACGAGACCATCTTCAGGGCGCAAAGTGTTTGTTTTCCGTGTAGATGTGTCATTCTTGTGACTCGTGTTGATAGTGCCCACACGTCACACCAGACCGCACCTCACGATCTCCAAATAATCATTGCCTAACGTGTCACTAAACACCGCAGATTTTTGAATGAGGTTTTACCAACACCGTTAGATGATGTTCTTTTTCATCAACGACAGAGAATGATTCTCCAGTTTGATGCCTCGGACACAATTCTTTGCAGGGAAGACGTTATTTGAATCGTCTCTTCCGGGATAGGTGGAAAGGACTTCATGATCCGATTTGTTGGCCTCCTCGATCGCCCGATTTAACTCCACTTGACTATTTTCTGTCGGGCCAATTAAAAAACCGTGTCTACACCAACCATAATCGGCAAACTCAGTTGAAGAACTGCGGCAAGGGATAGGAAATGCTTGCCAATCCATCTCCCCTCACTCTGTCGCTCTGACCACCTGTGAAGAGTGGTTAAAAAAAGTAAATCTTTCTTCTTTACGCAAGGCAGGCAGTTCGAACATGAAATTTGATTAATAAATAGAAAACCAAATGAATAAAACCCGATTCCACCATTGTTTTCAGCGTAAAAAAATCCTTTAAAATGATGTCAGGATGTATAGGAAACGTACTTGAAATTTTAAAGTTGAACTGAGCCTGAGGTACCCTTTATAATTTATCTCAAAAATACAGAAAAAAATTTAAACTAGGCTAAAAAATATTAAACACGTATGCTTTGTTTTTTTGATAGCCTCATTGGTTCAGGAGAAATTCAGCCGAGCAATCAAAAAAGGACATCCTGTATAGGAAAGCGTCCTTTGAAAATCTATCCTTGGCCCTTTCTTCGATTTTTACTTTAGTCCACTAATTTTCGCTAAAATTTATTTAGAAATCGATTAACGGTCACTAATCACCACACATTTCGCTAAAATATCTATTTTTCTCTTATTTCTATCAAACTTGTTCCTATACAGTTCAATTAAAGTTTTGTAGTATGTTTTCTCTTTAGAATAGTCCTAATTCACTTTTTGCCATAACTTTGTCATTTTTGACCTATTTAAGATCCGATTGCCCGATTGTTTTCAGCGGAAAAGTCCTTTAAAATGTCTTAGATAGAAAGCTAATATATTTTTTTAGGTCGAATTCGATGGTATTGACAAATTCTTTGTACCAATAAATGCCTTACCCTTAATAAATCATCACAATTAAAGACAGGTTTTTTTTTATAATTTACTAAAACGAATCCTAGATTTCCATAAATGCGAAAAGTTTAACGATTTTCTCGTGAACTAAGGCAATAAATTAAAGTTTTTAAAATCGAATATCTTCACTAAACTGGCCACAGGGGACAATTAGCTTATGTTTCATCTGGATATCAGGAAAATCTCTCAATTTTTATTTTTTTCTGTGACAGTTTGACCATGATCCTCCTAATTTTTCTTTTTCTTTCTTAATAAAATATTCCTGCTTTTTATTTCTCTTGAGCATTAAATGTCTTAAAATTGATCTATCGTTGTAAATATTTTCAACTTACCGTTTTTCATGTTTTAAATTTTTGGGAATGTATTATACCCTTAGCACTATTGGCCAGCATATTTTTACCCAAAAATTATAACTTATAAAACTTGTAGCGTAAATGATCTCTCTTCATAATATTTATATTTATAGTTCAGTATAATATTTTAAAATTAAGTGTAGTACTAATTAATTTAATTGAGCCATTTCGTTTAACTAGCATTCTTAATCTTATTTATATCAAAAGAGCAAACAGTTAATTAAACATCCAAGATATGATCACATAAACGCTGTCTTGAAAGCTACTTAGTAAAGGTCTTCTATATTGAAAAAAATTGAATGATTGCGATTAAAGCATGATTTTCTGCAAAGGACTTATTATTAAAATGAACCACTTGACCTTTCTCGGATATCCATTACGCTGATCAGATTTTATGAGCTGATGAATGATCGGTTTAAATAGGAAAAAGCTTTTCAAACGGGAGAAAAAAATAGAAAAATATAAAACACCCACCCGATCAAGCCGGGGAAAAGTTTAACGGTACGCCATCGCCGACATATTTATTTACCGGTGTAGCCACATCCATGAATTGCAAATTTATTCACCAGCGAAGCCTTGAAGGAAATTGCAAAGTGCATTCTTTTTACAAGTTTTTATTTATTTATATCGCGTGCCGTTGGAAATTCCTGGGGTCGCTTTCTTCGTACGACGAAATTTTAAAAGGGGCGAGTGTGTGGAAAGTATGGGGTAAAATGAAAAAATTTGAAAATCCAAGATCAACGATGATAACCATAGTCTTATTTATCCTTAATATAACCATTACGTGTAAATGCTGGGTATTTTCTTTATTTATCTTTCTCACCGCAAAACAATTGTGTTTTACTTTTTTACACGATAAATTTATTTCTCTTTTAAATCATTCCGGCACTTAATGTAAATTATTCGCACACATTCTCATGTTACACCGGTTCAGTTTTATTACAAATTCTTTGAGATATGTTTTTGTTAAAACACGTTTTATAGAAGACAAACCAGGCTGTAAATAAAGTTGTACGGATTCAGTATACGGCAGTGTAAGACGCTCTAGCTTTTTTATGAATAATTATTTATGATCTTTGTCGGTTGGTGTATTCTTACTGTTTAATGTGTTAGATGCACCGACCAATTTTTCACTCACGAATTCTCAGGATCCCCTTACGGTCTGGATAGAAAAAAAAATCTATCGTGCTTTGATCTATTTTAAGTTCATCGGGAAAAACTATCTTAAAGATTTGTACGAATTGACACAAAAATATTAAAAAATTAGGGCACTGTGAACACGACACACAAGAATGGCACAATTACGCAGAAAACAAACCATTTGAGCTCTGAAGATGATCTCAATAAAGATCGAAACGTTGGCACGATAAAGAAAATGTTTTTCTAAAACCTACATCACAGAGACCGCATCTCACGATCTCCGAATAATCATTAAAAACTTAATTATGTCATGTGCATTTTTATTGACTTGAATTTTTGAGAAAGTAACTTGGGGCCACACTTAAATCCTTTCTGACTTGCAGTGTAATACAAAGTTGTTGGATGATTAATACGAAAAATAGTATCTGACACTCAACTCCGCAAACTTTGTTGAAATTTATATTTAATTTTTTATATGATAAACTTACTTCATAAAGATTTTAGGGAAAAAACAGAATCGCCCTAAAAATCCACCGGTTTATCGAAAGACTGGGTGTCAAAACACGCCCGGATGCATTAATTTCGACCACCAATTAAAATTTCCATTAGAACAGTTTTTTTGTAGTTTTGAACATTGAAAAATTCGTAAATTTTACCTTTCCATCCTTCACATTGAATCCATCCAAGGTTGTGTCGTGGAGGGGGTTCCACCTGCATCAGAACACCTGTGTATACTCCAAACTTCTTCCAGCGTCAGGCACACACAAAAAATTTAATAAAAAAAGGTTGAAAAAAAATCGTCTGGCCCATATTGGAGCGTTGGTAGTTTTTTTAAAAAATTAGTATCAATTTTATCGCGGCAATAAGCTTGTAGACAAATTAATAAGGAAATTGAGTATTGCGTTTGTGACAACCGGCCATTTAAACACAATAAACAGTTTATTTCTATGTGATGATGTGTGGTATTTAGTTTATTTATGTTTTAACTAGCAGGTTATTGTGTACTTTTATTTTGCGCAGAAGAATGGCTCTCGTTGGAGAAGCCTGGAAGAACACATAATGTGAATCTTTCTGGAAGTTCTCAACAGTGATTTAGGTTGTTGTTTGCACACGCGTACTCTCTCAATACTTGTTTTTTATGGTACAGACTCTTTTTACCTGCGAGTTTTAAGATGATGACCGTATTGGGCAAGTTTAGAGGCAGATAGACATGTTTAAGGGCAAGTGGTATTATGAACTGCAGATTGCCTGAATATCGGCTGATATGAATTTTTCTGACAACTCTCAGCAGTCTTTAGGTAGAGGTCATTGGGTACTCAGAGATTGGGGATGCACCAGGATGCACTCTAATACTCAAGATCCTGTATCTGGAGGGTCTGGATACTTTTCACCTCTGATTTTTAAGCTGATGACCATACTAGGAAACCTTAGAGGCTAGGTCAGTTAGTATTATGAACTGCAAATAGCATACCATACTATGACCTTTCTGGCAGGCCTCAATAGTCTTTAGGTTGAGGTTGCTGTGTACTCAGCGATTAGGGATGTACCAGGGTGCACTCCATACGTAATACTCTGTTTCTGGAGATTCTGAATTCTTTGCACTAGTGGGTTTGTACCCTACGACCAAATTGAGCAACTATAGCACCTGATACGCCTGACTTTTAGCAGTCTTTAGGTAGAGGTCGCTGTGTACTCAACGACTGGGGATGCACCAGGTTGTATCCTAATACTCAATATCCTGGTTTTGGTGAGTGGGGATTTTTTCACCAGTGAGTATATAACTGACGACCATATTGAACAACCTTAATTCTAGATAAACCTGATGAAAGAAATGAACAGTTGATGATTACTGTCAAGTCCATTATATTTAGTGGTCTATTGAGCAAATTACTTCTTTAAATTAATTAATCTTTTTATGTAAGGTTGAATTGTGAGCCGTAAGCTTTCTATTACTTACCTAATGCTTCAACTACATGTAGAAGATGTCTCTTCCAAAACAGTATTTTATTCAGCTGATCTCTAGGTACTTCATCGTAAAGGGTTCGACAATTAAAGTTGGAAGTAAGTTTGAAGCTGATGACAATATTTGGCAATCATAGATCTAGATAGAACTGATTATGGACAGTTATGATAGCTGTATAGAGTTATGTTATGGCTTCAAGTTTTTTTATTCTGCACCTAATGCTTTGACTATATATGGCCGGTGTTCCTTCCTAGTCAATATTTTATCCTGCTTGATCCCCAGGTACTTTATTGATTCTTTGATTTCGCTTGACATGAACGTTCGTTGATGTGAAGCTTTCTGGCTGCTCTCGACTGTCTTAAGCCTGATGGCTGTGTAGTCAGCGATTACAGATATACGAGGGTACACCCTCACACTACTACCTTTGAGGGCCTGGACTTTTTTCATCTTTGAGTTTGAAGCTGAGACCATATTACAACAGTAGAGGCAGATAGCCCTGATTATGAACAACAAAGTAGATGCTTAGAGACAAGGGCTGGATTGAAATTCTTTTATCCTTTTGCCTTGAAGCTTTCACGTGTTTCTTCCAAATCAGCCTTTCTTCCAGAGCCTGATCCTTAGTTTGTTGACTGTTTGACCTCAATTCGCTGCATGGAATGGTGGAAGCCTGATATTTTCTTATGCGTCAAGCAGACTGATAAAGCATCGTGGTAAAGTATGCAGCTTTATGTGTGACTCCTTTCCCGTAAGCCGGGCAAGTGTGCAATTCTTAACTCGTTGTCTTGAGCGAAGTCGTGATTACATTATACAAGAATGGCCCGATTATACTTCCTTGTGGCTGGATTTAATTGGCTGAATCGACTCTTTTTTTGACAAAGGAAATAATTATTTAATTGCTCTGTGTAAGGTATCGGTCACGTACGGTTAATGGTTTGTCTTTCAAAATTCATGAGGTTTAAAGTTCCTCGTTTTCACCCCATGGATGGTCGGACCTTTTGAATAAAAGGAATTTCGTAAACTCCCATCGGTCCAGGTATATTCTTGGCTGGGGGGGGCTTTACAAAAAAAAAGCCCTGTTTATCAAGTTTGGCATTTTGGTCAATGTGTGGTGATTAGAAATATTAGTGAATAGAAATACTTTGATTGAATATAAAAAATATATATAGTTTTTGCATTGTATAAATTCACTTTTTTCCACATCCTATATGTATTTGTTAAATTTAAACAATGTTTGTACATCCCAGGCCCTGAAGATGATCTCAATAAAGATCGAAACGTTGGCGCGATAAAGAAAATATTTTTCTGAAACCTACATCACACCAGACCGGATCTCACGATTTCTGAATAATCATTTTGGCCAATTTTTAGCTCATGATAACCCAACTAATATAAAAGTAAACTAAACTTCTAACAGGAAGAAAAGACCCTACTTGAAAATTTACAAAATTCACGTTTAAACGCTAATTGTCATAAATAAATTAATTCATATAGCTCATTAAAAATCCCGTGTATGGTCTGTCGTTCCGTTTTATAGATGAAAAAAGAGAAAAGTGTGAATCAATGTATTATTCATTCATTTTATCATCTAGCAATTTAAAAACGGTGGTAATAAACTGAACAATTTTTTTCGAAAAAATTATCCATTAGGAAGATATGGACTTTTTTCCTCGTGTACTTATCGATATTAAGTACCGGCATAGACGGAAAGGGAAAGCCGTCATCCGTTGTGATCCTAACACAAAAGAGGCTTAAAAAAAATCATTTATTAGGAACCGGTGACTCGGCAAAGGCCGTGACAGCCTTCGCTTCCCGATGTTATCAGCCTTCCAGTCCTGGGGATACTCAGGTTCCTGGAACGGGCGAAGACGAACGGCCGATTGGAAGATTTTATTTCCCAGATTAGGCCAACAAAGTTGGCAGTCATCTATCCACACACATGGTCCAAACTCCTTCTATATGAACATAAGCATTAAAAATCCAAAGGACGAATCCAAAGCAGACTAGTAATGAGCCAGTGAGGGTTCGGGCGATTAATAATCATCAGCCGAAGCCGCGGATGAATGGGCCGAGCCCATCAATGGGACCTCATCAATGGCCCCGACACGCGCACCAACTTTCATGCACGGTCTGAAATTGAGTCCGTTTTACTTAAACGGTCGGGCGGTAACAAAAAAAAAGTATAAAAGAAAACGGATGTTTATATATTATAAAAGGACATTGTACGTGGAGAAAATAAGAAGAAAAATGTTTTCTTGGGAATGAGCAAGATACTTCAAAATTTGAGAAAATGGACTGTGGAAAATAAAGGGGACAATAATTGTACTAATGCGTATTAATTAGCTTAGTAAATTAAAATGTCATAAAAATCTTAACTATATAAAAATTAAAACATTACAATTAAAACCGTTGTTTTGAAGTTCCTATTGAAAACATGAACATAGCAGTAATTTTATTTTGTTCTATCTTCTTGTAATTATTTCCCGATGGCACTTTGCCGCCTGTCCGGCTTGGCTTCTAATGGCACACGTATCGGATTGGTTACAGGTGTACCAGGGGTCAAACAGTGCCGAGGACCTACTATCGCCTGACCTCACATCGTCCCTGCTTGTAATGCCTACTTTCGACGGAACCCACCCACGGCAACAATTAAAGGTAAGTCCTCCATCAAGTAATTATACGCTTCATCGGTCTGGAAAAAAAGGTTTCCTTTTTTTTTATATGTACAATTTTTCACGATAGGCCGTTGTCGGTTCGACGTGTTTATCTTACCACGTCTTTGTCCTGAGAGATAGAAAGGCCAGTTTCGTCGGCACGCACATGGACGAGAAAGAAATGTGGATAGATAGATTGATAGTGAGGGAGTGAGGGAGGGAGAGGGAGAAGGAGAGAAAGAGAGAGAGAGAGAGAGAGAGAGAGAGAGAGAGAGAGATAGAGAGAGAGAGAGAGGGAAAGAGAGAAGGGGATACGATTTTGGCAGTAGTTTCTTCGCTAAAAATTAGGCATCGCGAGAAGAATGTAAATAACTAGACAAACGAGTCTGAGATAGGAAGAAAGAAATAGAGAGAGAAAGAGATAGAGAGAGAGGCAGAGTCAGATAAAATAGAGAAAGAGAGTGAGAAAAACAGTGGAAAGGCTAAAAATACATACACAAACAAACAGTTTACAGGAAACAGAGAGGTAATGCACACATAGATAGAGAGAGACTTGTAGAAACAAAAGTGGAAACAAAAAAATGTGCGTGAGTGGATGTGTGTGTGTAGAGAGAGAGGGAGAGAGAGAGAAAGAGAGTGAGTGAGAAAAGCAGTGGAAAGGGTACAAAATACATACAGAAACAAAATGTTTACAGGAAACAGAGAGGTAGTATACACATAGATAGAGACCTCGTAGAAACAAAAGTGGTAACAAAAAAGTGTGCGTGTATGTGAGAGAGAGAAAGGAAGGGAGAGAAAGAGAGAGAGTGAGTGGGAGAGAGAGAAAGAGAAAAGGGAATACGATTTTGGCAGTGGTTTCTTGGCTAAAAATTAGGCATCGCGAGAAGACTGTAAATAGCTAGACAAAAGAGGCTGAGATGGGAAGAAAGAAATAGAGAGAGAAAGTTAGAGATAGAGAAAGAGACAGACAGGGACAGAAAAAATAGAGAAGGAGAGAGAGTGAGAAAAGCGGTGGAAAGGCTACAAAATACATATAGAATCAAAATGTTTACAGGAAACCGAGAGGTAGTATACACATAGATAGAGAGAGACTTGTAGAAACAAAAGTGGTAACAAAAAGGTGTGCGTGTGCGTGTATGAGAGAGAGAGAGAGAGAGAGAGAGAGAGAGAGAGAGAGAGAGAGAGGAAGAAAAAGAAAAGGGAATATGTTTTTGGCAGTGGTTTTTTGGTTAAAAATTTGGCATCGCGAGAAGACTGTAAATAGCTAGACAAAAGAGGCTGAGATGGGAAGAAAGAAATAGAGAGAAATAAAAAGTCTAGTTAGAGATAGAGAAAGAGACAGACAAGGACAGAGAAAATAGAGAAGGAGAGAGTGAGAAAAGCAGTGAAAAGGCTACAAAATACATACTGAAACAAAAATTTTCCAGGAAACAGAGAGGTAGTACACACATAGATAGAGAGAGACCTCGTAGAAACACAAAATTGCGTGCGCGTGTGTGGGGGTGTGTGTGAGAGAGAGAGACGAGGCATAAGGAGGCGATTAAAAAAGTATAAATAAAAGAATTGGATGGAAGGTAAAAGAATGAGAGAAGGTGAAAGACAAAAACCCGGATCAAGGTGTCCTCTCGAAGAAAGCAAATTCAGGGTACTGCCAAGCTTTTGACCTATTTTAAGGTCATCATCACAGCAAAACAACCTTAAATACGTCTACACATGGGCATATTTAAGTTTTTACAGGCGATCTCAAATTTCCTTGAAGACCGATCCAGTCCAAACATTACCAAGTATTGTAACAGTATTGGCTTAAAATCGGTCGAAAGCTTGGCAGTAGCAACTGAATGTGCTTTGTTCTTCAAGATCATACCTTCACTCAGAGTGTTCGTAAATGAAAAAGTGTAGATACTTCTAATACTGAAGACACAGCTAGACAGCTAGGTAAATAGAAATTAATATGAAAAACAGATAAAATCAGTGAGTGTGAGTTAGAGAGTAAGATGGGCAGAGAAAAAGTAAAAAAGAGAAAATGAAAAAAAAGAAAAGTTAGTAGCAGTTGTAGATATAGCGTTAAATTGATAAAATTTACGAAATAATTTTTAAAAGAGGAAAGGGCTGTCATTGAAGCCTGCTTAAATTCATTTCAGACGCCGAATGCTATCTCAGGAAGCTTCGAGTTGACGCGAAATTAAAACGAATAAATCGTCTGCCTTTCTGACGTTGGACTCAATTTAACTCTTCCCAATCGTCCAAATGATTGGAAAAAATTCCCCTACGTTTCATCATCGGCGAGTTGTTACAAACAGGTTGCAAATCAGGACCGAATCCGGCGTGGAAGAGACGCCGAGAACCAAAGTCAGAAAGAAATAGAGAAAATGAGAGAGAGAGGGAGAGAGTGATTGGGCGTGACCACTCTGCTTGTCAACCCGGCTACCGGTTTTAGAACACCCTCGGTCACAAACTAGAATTGAAACTGTAAACCAGAAAGGAACGCTTGTATCGCTGGGTTTAAATCTTCGTCTCGAAGGATCGAACCGTGCAGAACATCGCGAAGGCCGCTCCTCCGTTTTGTAATCCTCCCAAGGTATTCATATGCGGAACTGTCACCGTTGTCAGCGCGTTGCGTAACCGCGAAGGTGCAGCAACAGCCAAACGGGTCTCTGCATGTAAAAAACCGCTCTATTCGCCCTTTACCTCTGCGAATAGCTTTTCTGAGCGAGAGAGGGGATCCAAGGTGAGAGAAAGACAGGGAAGTGATAATAGAATAGCCTAACCTCTGTGATCGACTTGTCTCAACTATAAATTGCTCTAGATCTGTATTCTGTCAAAAATTCTTGAATTCCTGAATATAGTCAAAAATAATCAAAAATATCATAAAATCTGTAAATTAATGTACTAGAATGGTGACATATCACAATGAAAAAGGCCTTCTCGGGTTTCATATTTAAGAAATTCTGTTTGGATATCTATCAAAACAGGTTCTACTAGAAAATTAATAGACCGGACGTAAGTGTTATTGATTATGTCTCGAATTGGGAACTTGGCGAGACTAGAACGTCGCCATTCACGACCAAAATGACCTCTAAAAAACCGAAGGTATGTAGGATAAGGTTTTGTTTCTGATTAGACATCGGGTACAGAAAGATGTTATATTCTAAGATTATAAATATGACGAACAAAGTGTGGACTTAGTCATCCCAAAAACAACAAGAGGAAACCTTACATTTAAGTCGAAGTGTTAAAAGATAGTCAAGAAAATAATTATAGCGCATTGCAAAAACAAAAGTAGGAGAGGAGAGAAATAGATAGATAGATAGATAGATAGATAGATAGAGAGAGAGAGAGAGAGAGAGAGAGAGAGAGAGAGAGAGAGAGAGAAAGAGAGAGTGAGTGAGTGAGAAGGGGATACGATTTTGACATCAGTTTCTTGGTTAAAAATTAGGCATCGCGACAAGAATGTAAATAGCTAAACAAAGGAAAAAAACAAAGGAGGCTGATAGGAAGAACTAAATAGAGAGAGAAAAAGAGAGAGAGAGAGAGAGAGAGATCCAGACAGACAGACAGTGACAGAGAAAAGGGGAAAGAGAGAGTGAGAAAAGCAGTGGAAAAGCTAGAAAATACGTACAGAACCAAAAAGTGTACAGGAAACAGAGAGGAAGTACACACATAGATATAGAGAGACCTCGTAGAAACAAAAATGGCAACCAAAAAGTGTGCGTGTGTGATTGTGAGAGAGAGATGAGAGAGAGAGACAGACAGAGAAAAAGAGATTGAGAAAAGCAGTGGAAAGGCTACAAAATACGTACAGAACCAAAAAGTTTACAGAAAACAAAAGGTAGTACTATACACGTAGATAGAGAGAGACCTCGTAGAAACAAAAAAGTGTGTATGTGTGGTGAGAGAGTGATGAGAGAAAGAGAGAGAGAGAGAGTACTGAATAAACAGGAGTATGTGGATATAGCGACCAAAAACAAAACAGGTAAACAGAAAAAAGAAGAGACAAAAAATAAAGATATGGAAGGAAAAAACTACAGATTCAGAGAAGAAATACAGACAAATATGGGGAGAGGCATTGTAGAAGCCAAAAAAGTTTGTGTGTGTGTGTGTGTGTGTGTGTGTAAAGAGAGAGAGAGAGAGAGATTAAACTTTTATTTAACCGATTTGTGTTTAATGGTCATAATTGACCATATTAATTATTCTTCTCTGAAAGAATGATTAATTGAAATAAGTTTTATTTAACCACGCTAAGTTAGGTCTCGAGAATTTTGTTTCCACTTAACGTGAGTTATGTTGTGCATTATACATTATACATACAATTTAATGCAGATTCTTTTGATCTTTACAATTTATTTTACGAAGGAAAAAACGTTTTACATATTTTTATAAAATATTTCCCGTCACATTTTTTTGCTTTATATAATTTATAAGATAATGTATAAAGAAAAAACAATGAATAACAATCAAATGGAAATGAAAAGATAAAGAATAAAAACTTTAACAAGAATTGCTGATAGTTAGACACGTCTTTAAATTAATTCACCAAATAGTTTATAAATTTCGTTATTATAGTTATTTAGAAAATGCAAAAACACAGAATATAATAAGTACATAAAAATTAATTAATTTATGTTTCTATAATTTTAAGATTTTTTAATTATTTTCCATCAGATCTTGTAATTATTTTCTTTAGAAGAGAGAAAGTAAGAGAGAGCGAGTAGACTAATAAAAATGAAATTATTAGAGATAGAAAAAGTTCACAGCAAAATGTAGAAAATAATGAGTGGATCGATCGATCGCAAGATTGATAGAAAGTAGAAGTGTACAGACAGATGGATAGATGAGCAAAGAAAGTTAGTTGACATAGAAAAAAAAAAAAAAAAAAAAAACAGGAAAATAGCGAGCAATAAAGCACGCTTCAGGTAATTTTGACATTCATTTCTGTGGTCTGTGGGGTGATGAATCTTTGGTCGTACGCTATCATTTTCGGTCCTTACATCCTCAGTGGTT